TATGCCTCTTTTAAAATAAATACAAATAAACAGTCTTTAGTTGATGATTCTATTGGGTATTCCTCGTAATGAACAGTTGCCTGTCTCTGAGTCATTTAATGAAATGATCGTTTGTATCAGGTATAGATGCATGTAACGCAGGTAGAGGTTTTGGGGGTTCAACCCCCCACTATTTGCAAAAATCTGCAGATAAAAAACCAAGCAAGGTGAATGAATACAATGTTGTGTACAACAAACACCTCATTTTGACATTCGGAACACGGCTACGAAAATCTCAGATACTCTGGTAACACCAACTTGTATGAACTTACCTTGGAACTAACATAACCTCTAAAAGTACTACATACATACATACATATACTATAGTATACTATACACGCATATCCTTGTTATGAATTTTAAGATTTTAGAAGCTTTCGAAGGGGTAAAAATAATTGAACTCAGAATACATACTTTTTTCAAAATTTTGCATGCTCAATATCTTTTAGAGTTTCTAGTGAACGCGGGTTACTGATCCATATTCTGAGAAAAAATTAATTTACCTATTTGGAAGAAAAAGTGTGTTTTCAATGTCCGTGAATCACCAAAACAAATGCGAATGCATACCGTAAAAACGAGGAACGGGATTGCACAAACTACAGTGACAACCGAAAGTTCACCTGACGAGTATCAACTAGCGCAAAAATTAAGACGCTCTGACGCTGAGGAACTTAGTGCACCTGATTTTAGAGTAAGTCATCGAGTCCCACAGTTCCCAGTATATAGTGAATACTAACTAGGCGTAGTTTGGTTAAGGCCAAAAATCATCTCTGCTCTAATTTGAAAAAAATTTTGACCACCATTGTTTTCAAGATGCCGGTAATTTCACAACCCTTTGCGTCCCGAAAATCAAGTTTTACATTCCCTGCGACCTAATTTACATATTGACGTTCTTGCAGGTTCCTGGTGTAAAATATTTCTCGCGATAACTAAGCTATAACGAGAACTTCTTGAAAATCTGTGGCCATCGGATGCTATTTTTAAATTTCCGCCTTCGACCAATCGTAATTTGAAATTTCAATTATAGAAATTTATCAAAAGTAATTTTCTACACATTTCTACAAACTAATAAGAGTGCGATATTTTGATCAGTTTTGGCTATTTGTCTTTTGTTTATTTAATGTTTGATATCTTTCTATAAAAGTCTAGCTGGTTATACAACAAACACCAAAAAAATAATTTCAGGCTTCAATACATGTACAAAAATGATAAAAATTTTGCAAAATTTCACCAAAGTTTCAGACTTTTTAATCAGAATATTTAGAGAAAATTTTGGTGTGCAGTTTTGTAGCCCATTTCATTTAAGTCTGATGAAGGCGGTTAAAGCGCCAATAAATGAAGAAAAAGAAGAAGAAGTGCAAGTTTTAAGCTGCTGAAAAATTCCTTTGATTTTTGGCCATTTTTTTTTTGCTGGCAGTGTTCTCTATGTATATACACACATATATAAAATAAAATTGTCGAACATACTTTGTATGGAAAAAACATGAAACACCTTCAACCCAAAAAAAAAATCTCAGAAATCAACGAGATTTTTTACCAACATGAAACTTGCTCTTCGTTATACTAGAATTAAATGGGCTACAAAACTGCATACCAAATTTTTTTCTATTTTTTATGATTAAAAAATTTTAAATTTTGATGAAATTTTGCAGAATTTTTTATTATTTTTTACACAAAGTTTGAAATGTAAAACTTTTATAAAAAAATAAAAAAAAACAACATTGGAATTGATTATATGAAAAAAATTTTAACCAACACTTTATTGTGTCTGCAATATTTTAATGCAATTCCATTAAAAAAAGTGGATCATTATGCCTTCAAATACGCATCCTAATCCATCATTTTGTACAAAATTGTAATCTTAAGGAATTTTTGTAGAAATGTGTATTGGGTATGAATTCCTAATCAACAAACAAACTGCCCATACGTCATCTGAGACTACACGCGCCGGCTAGCTGGCTAATTGCACTCTTTTGCCTGCTCTGCACAAAGCTAATCGGGAAGATCGGAAAGTTTATGTCGAACCCGTTCGAGCATAGTTTAGTTCTAACTGTATGTACGTGCAGTTCGGTCTGCGGCAAGGCCTACATACATATATAAAGTATCGGTAGATATTCACCACTCCTAAATATTAGTTAGCAGTAGCACTTAACTCGCGTATATGTGTACATAGTATGTATGTTTGTTGGATGTACATACATACGTAAATATGTATGTATGTATGTAACCAAGAAGATCGCTCTTGAGTTGGCCTGGTATGTTTTGGTATGTTTGAGATGGACACGGGACCGAATGAGCGTAACACTCTGTTAGCTAAAAATTTGCGTGCACGAAAATACGTTCAGACCGGAAGTATCAGTAGTGTAGAGCAATCGAGTGATATGGCATCGGATGTGTCTGTAACATCGGCTGCTGAGTCCGCGGACTTTGAAGGTTCTGTTGAATCGATGACATCGATCACATCAAGCGATCTGGATGAGTTCAATTGGAGGCGCCTGCGGTTTTACTTGGTGGAGCCGATGGTGTTCATTCTGTTGTTTGCCTACAACTTATCGGGTACTGCGTTTTTTAAATTTTTATATTCAAACAAATTTATGCTTGTTTTCTTCGGCTTTTTAGACACAATTTTGAAAAATCAAATAATTTACCAAACCTGCACTGCTATCTTCTATTTCAACGAGACGGATTGTCGCCAATTGGGCACAAAAAATGCCAGTGAACACATTCAGGTAAGGGCCGAGGAGGAATACTACATACATATGTACAGTGAGTTATGAAATTCCAAAAATAAAACGAAGCTAATTACTTTCTAAAAATTCTGAATGAAAAATTTTCTCTGAACTGTAGACTTTTTTCCTGTTAAACTTACTCCTTATGGCGTTTTGCCTTCTCAGTGTCCTCTACGCATAAATACTAAGGAAAGGGCACTGAGAAGGCAACATTTTTCGGGGGAAAGGAAAACGGAATTAGTGAATTGGAAAAATCACTCGGAGGTAGAAAGTTTAATAGTTGTTTAATTCTCACACCAAAATTATTCCAGGCAAAAGATTTGCAGATTATCACACAAATGTTGGAATTTAAATCTTTACCTCGACTTCGATTCGCAATCGGAGGTT